GCCCCGGTAGGCACAGGCCCAGACCTCACACGCAGGCCCAGGGCCTGATGGTTGCATGTGCCCAACTGCCCTTGGCCTGCTTACGGCCTTTCGCATGCGTCTGGCCCAGGTCACCATTCAGATACATTTGCAAAATATGGCCTGGGCCTGGGCGCCTTCAACCAACTGGCGCAGCACAACTGTCTGAATTTCCCCAGTTGCGGGGTACCCTGAAAATCGAGGCCCTGAGGGCCTGTCGCGCCTGCCTTCACTTAGGGCGGCCGACGTGCTTCGAAAAGGGCCCAGAAGGGGCTGAGCGGGCGTAGCCTCGCATTCCCTCCTCCATATCTTTGTTAGTCCTCTGAGAAGATCAATCCTGAGCCATCTGGCGCTTTCCTTTCAATACATCCTTCTCATAGCGGGCAACGATTTGAGGAGCGGTCTGCATCAATTCCTCCCGAGTAAACCAGCAGTCCTCCTTCGGATCTGTGTGATGTCTGAAGTGGACACGAAACTGCAGCTTTGGCTTTGGAGGACGTCCCCTTCCCGGAGGCTTCTGAACAGGCATCTCCCTATGGTCGACGATATCATCGATGTCGACTTCTCCGTCCATGGTTGGGGGCATCATTGACCGACAAGAGGGAAACTGATCAGTTTCCTTGGACGCAGCGAGCTTAGAGGCGTGAAAGACTGGGTAAGTTCTGAGATGATCAGGGATACGGATGACATAAGATGGACCATCAGGGTCTGTCCCTACTACGTCTAAAACTTCCCAAGGTCCAAAGTACTGAGGCATGAGTTTGCGGGATATCCCGAACTCCTGTCCCAGTTCTGAAGACTTGACCCAGACTCTGTCCCCAACCTGAAATGTAGAAGGGCGACGGTGTTTATTCTCAGATTCTATCATTGCTGCATGCGCCTTCTGCATGTGCTCTAGAACCTCCTTCATTTTCAGTTCGTAACGATAAGCGAACTCCAAAGTACCCGGTGCAACAGTTGGCTGGTTATCAGAAAGTAGAAAGTCTAAAGGTAGTCTAGGCCTAAAGGTAAGATATAGACTGTTAGGACTTACCCCGGTAGCGCTGTGTACAACGTTATTGTACAGACTCGCGACAAGAGCAAGCTTCTCGTCCCAGTCCACCTGATTGGGCTTAATGTAATGCCTCAACAGGTGTTGAACAACGTGGTTCATCTGTTCAGCCTGGCCGTTTGCTTCTGGATGGTTTCCACTAGTCATTTGTAGTTGAGTTCCCTGTTCAACTGCAGCGGCCTTCCATAACTCACTTGTAAATCTGGCATCTCTGTCACTTACAATAGACTTAGGCAATCCAAAATCCCTCACCCAGTTCTCTTTGAACAGCCTGATTACATACTCGGTCTTCGCTGTTTCCGGCATGGCTATTAACCTAGCATACTTACTAAACCTATCCACGATGACGAAGAACTGCCTCATCCCGCTCTTGTTGGTGACCAGCGTATCCATGAAGTCCATGGACAAGCTTTCACCCGGGCTTTCCGGAATCGGAAGGGGCTTGAGCAGCCCAAGAGGATCCTGAGTACGGGGCTTGTCTCGTTGGCAAACTTGACAAGTTTCCACGTACAGCTTAGCATCTTTTAACATCGTGGGCCACCAGAACCTTTGCAGCAAATTGGTTGCGGTTTTCTTGTACCCAAAATAGCCGGTGGCGTCATGACACTCGCCTAAGAACAAACTACGCAAAGACTCTTTATCAGGGACACACAAATGTTTATTCCCTTCCTTCTCGAGAAACAGCAAGCCATTGACCAACTCAAACTCGGCTGAAGTTTGTTTATCCTTCGCCTCGAGTCTGCGTATGATCTCAGACATAAACTGGTCCTCTCGATAGGCTTCCACCAAGGATCGAGTGACATCATCCGTAAGATCGTACTCAGTAATCGGCGCACCTGAGAAGTCAGGTCTACGCGACAAGGCATCAACAGCCTTGTTGTACTCACCCTTGATGTATTGAGGGTCAAAGTCATACTGCTCAATGACTTCTATCCAACGCTTCAATGTGTCAGAGAGTACAGGCTGAGTTCTCTTCCATCTCAAGGTCTGATGATCAGTCCTGAGGATGAAGAACCTCCCAAGGAGATAGTGTCTCCAATGGGTCAGCGCCTTGAACACCGCATATAGTTCTTTGTCATAGGTGGACATAGCCAACTTCTGAGACGACATTTTCTTGGACATGTACTCAACAGGCCTCAACTTTGGCCCCTCCTGTTGCACAAGCACGACGCCAATGCCATATTGGCTAGCATCCGTGGTTACTATAAACGGCTTATCAGGATTGGGAAGTTTCAAGACTTCATAATGCGTTAGTGCATGCTTCAGATGTCTGAAAGCAGCCTCGCACTCATCTGTCCACTCCCACGGGGTGTCAAGGCGGGTCAGATCAGTCAAAGGAGCGACCACTATGCTATAGTTCTTTACAAAAGTCCGATAGTAGCCTGTCATTCCTAAGAAAGATCTCATCTCAGTCACAGACTGAGGTCGTGGTCAGTCACGAATGCTGGCCACCTTCACGTCATCGGGCTTCAACCCTTCCGCGGAGATCTCATGACCCAAGTACAAGATATGGGTGCGGTCAAACTCGCACTTCTCACCGTTGATCTTGAACTTGTTCTGTCGCAGGAGGCTGAGGACTTTGTCCAAGTATGCAACGTGCTCCTCGACAGTCTTACTAAAAATAAGTATGTCATCGAGGTACACGATGACAAACTTATCCAAGTAGTCATGGAATATCCAATTCATAGCGTGTTGAAAAGTGCCAGGAGCATTGCACAGGCCAAAAGGCATCACCACAAACTCGTACAGACAGTACATGGTCTGAAATGCGGTTTTGTGTTGATCCTCGGACCGGATTGCAATCTAATGGTACCCGGACTTCAGATCTATCTTACTAAAGTACCGACACCCTTGCACTCTATCTAGCAGATCGTCAATGCGCGGTAGGGGCTCTCTGTTCTTTACGGTGATGTCACTGAGACCCCTATAATCAATGCACATCCTGAGAGTGCCCTCCTTCTTCTTAGGTACGAATAGTACTGGAGATCTGTAAGGAGAGACACTCGGCCGGATCCAACCCTTCTCTACGAGTTCCTTGAGTTGGCGGCGAAGCTYATCAAGCTCGCCTGGAGACATCCGATAGATCCTACCCTTCGGAATACTAGACCCTGGGATAATCTTTATCGCGTGGACGACCTCCCTATCAACAACCCCTGTTGGCTTTTCAAATAGATCAAGGTACTTGGCAACTACTCCCTCTATCTCCGGCGGCATTTTCACCGGCTCGCCTGCAGCAGAGACATAAACTAAGTACATACCCTCCTCCTGATGTTGCTTATAGTAGTTATAGAACGCGGCCACACACATGCATCCATGGGAGTCGATCAGACTACTAACTTTGAACTTGTGTAGTCTGGCGGTCCCTCCACCTAGCAAAGTGTGTTTGACCACTTTTCGGTCCCAGTCAAACTGGGGCTGTGCCACAGAGAGGTAGTACATACCTAACAAGATATCCATAGGGAGATCGTCGCTCACTAGGAATGAGACACRATGCCTCAACTCCCCTCCCGCGAACGGGAACAGGCATTCTACATCTTGAAGGTAGTCATTAACTACCATGCGTTGTTTGTTGGCACAGGTCGACTCCACAGGTCGACTCAGGCGCTGCACTTGCCCCTGTAAACGCAGCCTCTCAACGCACGCACGACTAATGAAGTTTTGTGTCGAGCAAGTGTCATAATAGGCCCCGGCCTTGCGGCCGCCTACGACTATCTCACTGACGAACATCTCACCCTTCGGGGCTTTAGCTAGTGTCGTCCAAGAAGCTAGCGGGTCTAGTCTAGATCAATCCTCCTCTAGCTCCTTTAAGGACTCAAACACATTCATCGAGCAAAGGGTCGATGGGTCTGAATGCGTTTGCGGGACGACAAGGGAATCAGTAGCTTGAGTTATGATGCGAGATGGCGAGGGTGTCTCCACCACCTCGTCCCTAGTAGGAACAACTACTATTCCTACTGGCCTGACGTGTTTCCCGAAGCAGTGCCTGATGAACTGGCAACATTGCTACTTACGGGAGATGAGGATCCTACCGCCTTCCCCATAGTAGGCGGGATCTTATCGGTGACCTTCTTGTTCCTACATTTGAACTGGTTATGGCCGTATTGACCACAACGGATCCAGGCCTGACGGTTCCACCGATCTCTCCACACGTCCTCGGAAAGACCCGCTTTCTCCCATGGAGGAGCATTGGGGTCAACTTGATTCCTAGACCGGGAGCCCCCTCGGCGTCTACMGGTCCCCTTACCTTTTTGTTGGGTTACGGCGGCGACTACTCCACCCTCTGAAGTATCGCTACCTGCCTCTGCACCTACTCCCTCCTGCAAGTTGTCGTCCAACTCGATGGTTGAACCATCGTTGTCAACAAACATGATGTGACCCTTTGCCTTCCAGTTAGGAGGCAGTGTTTTCTTCCTACCGTCCGTAGTGGGTGTCTGTCCATGCCCTATCTTTGCTTCTAAGTCTAGGGCCACCTTGCTGAACGAAGGAAAGTTGTGCATATTGATGTTGGTCTCTTTTGCCAACTGGTTCTTGAGAGGCTGGGATAGGCATCTCAAGTACGAAGTCAACAGGACCTGGGGGTCATAGCGCACACCTGGGACACAGATTAGACGCTCAACAGTGTCAGTGGCTTTCCCTAACTGACTTAAACTACCGCGTGTGCAGTGTCAGGATCGCATCAGTGGTCTTTTGGGCCTCCTGAGGATCATGCCATCTCTCTTCCACCATCTTCAGGAAGTCCTCCAATTTCCGAGAGGCTGCCCAAGAGTGGAAGTCATGATCGTGCCCCTGGAGTTGTACTAAACCACTCAACCATCTTGCTGCACTAACCTCTAGGTAGGATGCAGCCACAAGCACTTATTCGTGCGGCAAGGTGAATTTACACCTGACGTAGACCGGCACTACCCTCAACCAAGTGTCGAGGTCTTCGCCTCTCTTGTCCCCTGTAAAAGGTTTAGGAGCGGCGATGGCCGTCTTTGGAACCCACTGAGTTTGTCTCGGTCCCTGCACCACCCCGGGTTGTGGACTCGGTGATACAGGTTGCTGTGCTAGCTGCTGGGGTTGTGTGCCCTGTGGCTGCACAGGTTGCGAGACAGCAACCTGCGTGTTTACTGCAACATGCAACGGACTCTGAGTGAACACTGTCTGTACAGGAACCTGCACACTACTCCCTGTTGTTACCCCTCCTGACAGAGGCATGCCCAGGAAAACGATGGCAACCGATGACGGGGCTACATATGGGGAAACCCCAGTCACCGATGGAACAGAAAAAGGAGGATATGGCACGGGCCAGGCACCAGGCCCTGCCGGTGATAGTGCTCCCTGAGAACGCCCTACCAAAATGGCTAGGCTCTGGTGGATATCATGAAGGATGGTAGTTTGATGCTCCTGCATCTCTATTACTCCTAACAGGGCCCTCCTAACTACCCTCACATCGTCATCCATGTTCGTCAGGTCCATCGACTCTAACTCCTCTATGTCTGCCCCTCTCTGTTGCATCCTGGTTCTTCTTCTAATCATCATCTCCTTCTCCCTCTTTATCTGTCCTAATGTCTGCTGTAGTTGTGCCTCTTGCAGGGCTGCCTGCTGGATGGCGACATCCTCTGGGGTCAACACCGCGGGCTGGCTTGTCATTAAGCCAGTGGACTGATTTACGGTCTGCGCGACCGTGGACCCGGCGATACCTGAACTACCGACTTGGGAAGTCTGTTGTGCAGACGCGCTCATGGCTGTGGTAGCCATGACTGCTGTAGCACCGGCCTCGCTAGCTAATGCCCTGCTGGCCTCGGCTGCTCTAGCTCTCCTCTGCTGCTGCCTCTCCCTCTGCCGACAGAACAGTTCCCTATCACCCTCCGGTCCTAGGGACACGTGAGTTATTGGGCCTCTAGCTGATCGCAAAGTCCTGCGGTCGTCCTCTCCGGTGTCCTCCCTGTCACTCATAGGCTACAACACTGTGCACAGTCTACACTAGATCATTCAGGATGCCTACCGCAGCATAGTGCACAGACCAACTAATTAGTGGTGGCTATTTTGGAACAGATCTCATTTGGGGTCAACAGGTAAGTCAGATTCCTACTGTCAATACTATTTTTAGTAAGATTAGTTCTCAAATAGAGGAAGCATCAGGAATAAATAATATTCAAAACTAATGTTGTCTGTCAGATGTCACATGGCTGTCCATCTAACTAATCAAAAATAAAAATAATGTTGACTGACCGGGTCTGTTCACAGCTTGGAATTTAAACTCGAACTTATCACCTGGAATCTACCCCTCCCTTTGTTCTTCTCAATGTCACGGTGTCAAGTTTCTACGCATCAGAAGCCAAGCGTGTCAAAAAGGTGTGCAATCCGGTCCCACCCCTGTGCCCCAGGTTATCGTCGAGCAAGGCAGCCACAACACTTATTTATCCTCGTACGCCAACGAGCCTTACACTCGGTTGATCTGGCTGATCAAGAGGCAATTTAACATCCGCCCCCAAGAGACATCAGGAATTATTTTACGTCGCAACAGGACGACGATCACAGCCAGGTCAGAGTCGAGTCCCCAACCAGAAATGTTTATAGACGGTCTGGTATGCGTCTTAAGAGGCTGCCACACTCGAGTTACCCCCAATCTTGCGCAAGCGGCAGAACCAACGACTTGCAGCGAAGCATGTGTGTACTAGTCCCAGCAGGTTGGCATGGTGACCGTGACCCGAGTGCTTCATCTAGGGCCCTTCAAGAAGCTCCGCCCGTCTTCCCCCAGATGCTCCACGTGAACAATCACGACTCTCAAGGTTGAGCGCACTCGACACCTCACGATGAGAGGACTCTCAAGACAAAACTCACAACCTCACGGTAAGAAGTGATGAAGAGGGTAGATAAGGTTAAGAGCAACGTACCTCATTCAAGTTGCCCCCAACCACAGAGATAATCTCACCAGATGACCAAATGGCGATTGTGATGACCAGTCACTGCATCGGCACAACCAGCATTATCCACCGTTCCACCTCAGCATCAATCGCACATTAGATAGTTCTCATCACGCTGTCCAGACCACATACACTTCACATAGCCTTCCTGGCGAACCCCTCACCTCCTGGGTCGCCTTCACACTCGTCTCCACCCTCCTCACTACACACCACTTACGGCCAAACTCGCCCAACACACCGCGTGTATGTACCGCATAAGGTAGAAGACAAGCGCCAGATGAGCGCAATCGTACCACAACTCCGATACCAAATTGCAAGGAAGATGAGCATTAGCGAACTCCAGTAATCAAACAACATCATACATACGACTCCAGATAGTCTTGACCTCGAACCAACACCAGAAATGCATCACAAGATTCACCAAATAAGAACACACCAATTGTTCATAATTGACAATGCTGAAATAGTCTCTCATCATCATCAACGAAGAACAAGAGTTGATATCCTATTGGCGCTCGACACCCAGACTACATGTGGCAGATCCTATCTAGCCTAATAC